AAACCTGATGCTGAGGACTCTTTATGTAATGTATTTACTGTCTTTTTCCCATTGTGTGCCGCCTAGGTGTCGCCTAGGCATCCCATTGTTAATTGAGTTAATTGAGTCACCTATTGTTTGTCTGTTGGCAAGTCCTCTTGGAGGCTTCTGCAGGATGAGATTACTGTGATATCAGAGTCACCTATCTAATCCGATTGACCTTGGCCAATCCCCAAGCAGGAGGCTTGGCATGGGGCCAGGGCAGCCCTTAAAGTGTTACTAAACCCCAGACCCTGCATTCACTATATCTGATCTCCCCGGACCCTGCATTCACTATATCTGATCTCCCCGGACTCTGCATTCACTATATCTGAACTCCCTGGACCCCGCATTCACTATATCCGATCTCCCCGGAACCTGCATTCACTATATCTGGTCTCCCTGGATCCTTCGTTCACTATATCTGCTCTCCAGACCCTGCGTTCACTATATCCAGTCTCCCCGGATCCTGCATTCACTATATCCGCTCTCGCTGGACCCCGCATTCACTATATCTGCTCTCCCCGGACCCTGCATTCACTATATATGGTCTCCTAGGACCCTTCATTCACTATATCCGCTCTCCTCAGACCCTGCATTCACTATATCTGCTCTCCCCGGACCCTGCATTCACTATATCTGGTCTCCCCGGACCCTACATTCACTATATCCGCTCTCCCCAGACCCCGCATTCAGTATATCTGGTCTCCCCGGACCCTGGATTCACTATATCTGCTCTCCCTGGACCCTGCATTCACTAAATCTGTTTTCCCCGGACCCTGAGTTATCTATATCCGCTCTCACTGGACCCCACATTCACTATATCCACTCTCCCGGACCCTGCATTCACTATATCTGCTCTCCCTGGACCCTGCATTCACTATATCCGTCTCCTCGGACCCTGCATTCACTATATCCACTCTCCCTGGACCCTGCGTTCACTATATCTGCTCTCCCTGGACCCCGCATTCACTATATCCGCTCTCCCCGGACCCCACATTCACTATATCCGTTTCTCTCCAGACCCTGCATTCACTATATCCAGTCTCCCCGGACCCTGAATTCACTATATCTGGTCTCCTAGGACCCTTCATTCACGTTATCTGTTCTCCCCAAAACCTGCATTCACTATATCTGGTCTCCTAGGACCCCGCATTCACTTTATCCGCTCTCCTTGGACCCTACATTCACTACATCTGGTCTCCCCAGACACTGCATTCACTATATCCGGTCTCCCCAGACCCCGCATTCACTATATCCGCTCTCCCCGGACCCTGCATTTACTATATCCGCTCTCCCCGGACCCTGCATTCACTATATCCGCTCTCCCCGGACCTTGCATTCACTATATCCACTCTCCCCGGACCCTGCATTTACTATATCCGCTCTCCCCGGACCCTGCATTCACTATATCCGCTCTCCCCGGACCCTGCATTCACTATATATCCGCTCTCCCCAGACCCTGCATTCACTATATCCGCTCTCCCGGACCCTGCATTCACTATATCCGCTCTCCCCGGACCCTGCATTCACTATATACCGTTCTCCCCGAACCCTGCATTCACTATATCCGCTCTCCCCGGACCCTGCATTCACTATATCCGCTCTCCCCAGACCCGCATTCACTATATATCCGCTCTCCCCGGACCCCGCATTCACTATATCTGCTCTCCCCGGACCCCGCATTCACTATATCCGCTCTCCCCGGACCCTGCATTCACTATATCCGCTCTCCCCGGACCCTGCATTCACTATATCCGTTCTCCCCGGACCCTGCATTCACTATATCCGCTCTCCCCGGACCCCGCATTCACTATATCCCTCTCCCCGGACCCCACATTCACTATATCCGCTCTCCCCGGACCCTGCATTCACTATATCTGCTCTCCCAGACCCCCTGCATTCACTATATCCGCTCTCCCCGGACCCTGCATTCACTATATCTGCTCTCCCCGGACCCTGTATTCACTATATCTGCTCTCCCCGGACCCCGCATTCACTATATCCGCTCTCCCGGACCCTGCATTCACTATATCTGGTCTCTCCCCGGACCCCGCATTCACTATATCCACTCGACCCGGACCCCCGCATTCACTATATGGACCCTGCATTCACTATATCCGCTCCCCGACCCTGCATTCACTATATCCGCTCTGCATTCACTATATCCGCTCTCCCCGGACCCTGCATTCACTATATCCTCTCTCCCCAGACCCCTGCATTCACTATATCCGCTCTCCCCAGACCCTGTATTCACTATATCCGCTCTCCCCGGACCCCGCATTCACTATATCCGCTCTCCCCGGACCCCGCATTCACTATATCTGCTCTCCCCGGACCCCGCATTCACTATATATCGCTCTCTCCCCGGACCCCGCATTCACTATATTCGCTCTATCCCCCGGGGACGGACCCTACATTCACTATATCCGGTCTCCCGCCAGGGACCCTGCAATTCACTATATATCTCCCTGGACCCTGCATTCACTATATCCGCTCTCCCCGGACCCTGCATTCACTATATCGCTCTCCCCGGACCCTGCATTCATATATCCTCTCTCCCCAGAGGGTCTGCATTCACTATATCCGCTCTCCCCAGACCCATTCACTATATCTGGTCTCTATACGGGACCCCGGCTCTCCCCCCGGATTCACGCATTCACTATATCTGCTCTCCCTCCGGACCCCGCATTCACTATATCCGCTCTCCCCGGACCCCGCATTCACTATATTCGCTCTCCCCGGGACCCTACATTCACTATATCCGGAGCTCTCCTAGCCCTGCATTCACTATATCTGCTCTCCCTGGACCCCGCATTCACTATATCTGCTCTCCCCGGACCCCGCATTCACTATATCCGCTCTCCCCGGACCCCGCATTCACTATATCCGCTATCCTGGACCCCGCTCCACTGGACCCTCTCCCCGGGCATTCACTATATCTGTCTCCCCGGACCCTGCATTCACTAAATATCTGGTCTCCCCGGACCCCGGATTCACTATATCCGCTCTCTCCCGGACCCCGCATTCACTATATCCTTCACTATATTCACTATATCTGCAGATCTCTCCCTGACCCCGCATTCACTATATCCGCTCTCCCCGGACCCCGCATTCACTCAATATCCGCTCTCCCCGGACCCCGCATTCACTATATCCGCTCTCCCGGACCCCGCATTCACTATATTCGCTCTACCCGGACCCTACATTCTATATCCGGTCTCCCTGGACTGGATCCTGCATTCACTATATCTGCTCTCCCTGGATCCTCCCCGGGACCCCGCATTCACTATATCCGCTCTCCCCGGACCCCGCATTTCACTATATCCGCTCTCCCTGGACCCCGCATTCACTATACCCGCTCTCCCCGGACCCCGCATTCACTATATCCGCTCTCCCTGGACCCTGCATTACACTATATCCGCTCTGCGCCCCGGACCCCGCATTCACTATATCCGCTCTCCCTGGACCCGCATTCACTATATCCGCTCTCTCTGGACCAACCCACCAGCTCATAGGAACAGGACTGAGTGAGTAATCCTACGCCCCCTGGGCCAGCTAAGAGGAAAGCAGGACTCTGGTGGAAAACTGTATTAGCTCCTTGCCTGGGACTGTTTACTGTACCTTAAAATGGTAAGCACTGGGTCCCCCGCCCAGGGATTCCTCCAGTCAGCTGGATAGAGGAGGATTATTTGGGGTCTGGGGTTGAACACCAGTAGTGGTTGGAGAGCCTTCCAAGAAGAGAATTTTGCTGTGTGAAGACTTGTACATAGTTCAAGGGAGTTGTCCTCAGTTGCAGTTCCCTTGGGCATCCCATATACCCCTTACCCCATCCAAGTTATTTACCCCTTAACAGGGGCGGACTGACCATTTGGAAACTCGGGCACTGCCCAAGGGCCCGGGGGGGTCAGTAGGGGGCCCCATGAAATGCCCCTGATACCTTTTTCATAGGCTTTTTTTGAGTTTGGGCAAGGACACAGGGGCCCCATGATCCCCTATTGCCCAGGGGCCCCATGAGTTGTCAGTCCGCCCCTGCCCCTGCCTCTTAATAAAATCCTCCCCAAAAAAATAAAGCTCAAGGACTGTTTACTGTGTCCTGGACACAAGTCTGTGAGGAATGTTGCCTGGCTGTGCAGGACCACCAGGAGACCCAATTCTCTAGCAACTCCTGTATAGGACCTGGGTGGCCCTACATCAGGGCTCTCAGGGCATCAACTTTGTGTTTCATTGTGTCCCATTGGGGAGACTTCTCTCATCATTCCTGTCCCATAGCCAAAAAAGGAAGTGGCAGAAAATCCCTGCAAATTAGGGGAATCCATTGGATCTCAGATCACTAGAATTAGTGTCCCCATTGTAAGATTTCCCCTCTATTACTTTTCTGGGGACAACCCAAAATGTGGGAATTTTTTTTGCTTTCACTCTGGGTGATAATGGTAAATGGGACAAATAGAGGGGGCGATTCTCCTTAATGGGGGCACCGACAGCAATAAAAAGCTGACGGGGTCTAATCCCTCTCCAATCCCATATGGAAGGAAAATATATATTAAATATATTTTAAAAACTACCACTACAATTTTGGCCGTATTCAAGATATATATATATATATATATATACACTGCATGTTGAAATGCATTTTTTTATACAAAAAATATATGAAAAAATATTTTTAAAAGTATATTTTTAAAAAAAATATTCTTCAGATTTTGTTAACATTAAAAAAGTTTATTTTTAACATATATTTCTACATATATTTGTAAAATGCATTCCAAAAATGTAGATTAAATGTATTTTTAAAGACATACAGTATAGTTGAAAATGTATTTTTACAAATATTTTTCATATATTTTGTAATATATAAAAAACACATTTCAACATGAAGTATATATATATATCTATATAGATATATATATATACTGGAGCTGAAGGGGAGGAGCCTGTACACCTGTGCAAGACTGAAGGGGAGAAGCCGGTACACCTGTGCAAGACTGAAGGGGAGGAGCCGGTACACCTGTGCAAGACTGAAGGGGAGGAGCTGGTACACCTGTGCAAGACTGAAGGGGAGGAGCCGGTACACCTGTGCAAGACTGAAGGGGAGGAGCTGGTATACCTGTGCAAGACTGAAGGGGAGGAGCTGGTACACCTGTGCAAGACTGAAGGGGAGGAGCCAGTACACCTGTGCAAGACTGAAGGGGAAGAGCCGGGTACACCTGTACAAGACTGAAGGGGAGGAGCCAGTACACCTGTGCAAGACTGAAGGGGAAGATCTGGTACACCTGTACAAGACTGAAGGGGAGGAGCCAGTACACCTGTGCAAGACTGAAGGGGAAGAGCTGGTACACCTGTGCAAGACTGAAGGGGAGGAGCCGGTACACCTGTGCAAGACTGAAGGGGAGGAGCCGGTACACCTGTGCAACACTGAAGGGGAGGTCCGGTACACCTGTGCAAGACTGAAGGGTACACCTGTGAGCTGGAACACCTGTGCAAGACTGAAGGGGAGGATAGAAATCACCTTTAACCTCTGAAGACTGGCACCTCCTGGCCCTTTAAGTGGTTTCTGATTCTGGGAGGTGAGGCCGCTGTGATTGGCTGTCACAGTAGTCACATGATCAGAAAGGTCCCAAGTAGCGATCGGGAGCTTTCCATTGGGTACCAGTAACAATGCCTGGAGCGTGCAGGGTGCTTGCACTGGGCATGGGTTTGTTTAAATTTTGGTACTCAAACATGCGGCCTCTCAGGGTCAAGGCCCCACCCATTTTGAGAGGCCGCATATATTTGCATACTTTGGGCGCAAAAAAAGGTTAAAAAGTAATACAAAATCCCCCACAGAGCGCAAACCTTCAAATCAAATGGTCCTACCTAAGACTTTCCCCAGGGTGAGAGACTTGATGGCTTTGAAATAGATATCCGATGAAAAATGATGCCCGCTGCTTCAGGATCTTGTCAACCTGAAAATAAAAAAAAATGTTTGTTACAAAATAATATAAAAATACATTACAGAAGAATCTAACAGTCGCAGTGCGCACAAAGCAATTCCATGCTGTCACCGGAGCAGCGGACAGTCCTTAAAGTCTCCACGCATCTGACGCCTGCGTGCGTTCCCTGGGAGCACGCAGTGGCACGATCTGTGCCCCGTGTCCACCAGGCACAGCGCAACATGGATGTGCCGTGAGTGGCCCCAGTACCATGTGATTGCTGATTAGCCAATCAGCGATCACATTTACAGTAGTAAACAAGATGTCATTTCCTGGCATCACTGTTTACTACTGTAAGCTATGTGATCGATCACAGAGATCACATGGTACAAGGCCATTCACAGCAGCCCTGTATCATGTGATAAGCTGTGACCAATCATAATCATGGCTGTAAAAGTAATCACAGTGTTGAAAAAAGTATAAAATCCTGATCACCCCTTACAAGTATTACATTCTCACTATGGTGACACTGTACTGCTATGGTGATGGTATGTAATAAAAAAAAACTAAATACATAAATAAATAAAAATGTAAAAAATAAAAATATACAAACTTTTTTTTTAAATTAGAATTTTGTTTTTCTAAATACTGATTTGTGTTATTTTTTTTTACCAAAAATAGTAGCAGAATATATTTTGACCAGGATTTTTGACAAAAGATTGTTTATTTGCAAAATGTTATAAGAAAAACACATTTCCCCCCCCCCCCCAAAAAAAGTGTCTTTTTTCATCATATACCAAGAAATAAAAAGTCCAGTGGTGATCAAATATCACAAAAAAAAAAGCTCTATTTGTGTGAAAAAAATTATATAATGTGGGTACAGTGTTGCATGACTGCGCAATTGTCATTCAAAGTTTTTTTCCCGCCATATTTTAAGACTTTTTTCATTTATATAGCAAAAAAATAAAGTCCCAACAGTGATTAAATACACCAAAGAAACCTCTGTTTGTGTGTGAAAAAAAATGATATAACGCTTTATACGGGTACAGTGTTGCATGACCGCGCAATTGTCATTCAAAGTGTGATAGCGCTCAGAGCTGAAAACTGGATTGGGCAGGAAGGGGGTGAAAGTGTCCGGACTGGAAGGGGGGGAAAGTGTCCGGACTGGAGGGGGGGAAAGTGTCCGGACTGGAAGGGGGTGAAAGTGTCCGGACTGGAAGGGGGGGAAAGTGTCCGGACTGGAAGGGGGGGGAAAGTGTCCGGACTGGAAGGGGGGGAAGTGTCCGGACTGGAAGGGGGGGTGAAAGTGTCCGGACTTGAAGGGGGTGAAAGTGTCCGGACTGGAAGGGGGGAAGTGTCCGGACTGGAAGGGGGGGAAAGTGTCCAGACTGGAAGGGGGGGGGAAGTGTCCAGACTGGAAGGGGGTGAAAGTGTCCGGACTGGAAGGGGGTGAAAGTGTCCGGACTGGAAGGGGGGGGGAAGTGTCCGGACTGGAAGGGGGTGAAAGTGTCCGGACTGGAAGGGGGGAAAGTGTCCGGACTGGAAGGGGGGAAAGTGTCCGGGCAGGAAGGGGGTGAAAGTGTCCGGACAGGAAGGGGGGGAAAGTGTCCGGACTGGAAGGGGGGGAAAGTGTCCGGACTGGAAGGGGGTGAAAGTGTCCGGACAGGAAGGGGGGGAAAGTGTCCGGACTGGAAGGGGGGGAAAGTGTCCGGACTGGAAGGGGGGGAAGTGTCCAGACTGGAAGGGGGTGAAAGTGTCCGGACTGGAAGGGGGTGAAAGTGTCCGGACTGGAAGGGGGTGAAAGTGTCCGGACTGGAAGGGGGGAAAGTGTCCGGGCAGGAAGGGGGTGAAAGTGTCCGGACAGGAAGGGGGTGGAAAGTGTCCGGACTGGAAGGGGGGGAAAGTGTCCGGACTGGAAGGGGGTGAAAGTGTCCGGACAGGAAGGGGGGGAAAGTGTCCGGACTGGAAGGGGGGGAAAGTGTCCGGACTGGAAGGGGGGGAAGTGTCCAGACTGGAAGGGGGTGAAAGTGTCCGGACTGGAAGGGGGTGAAAGTGTCCGGACTGAAGGGGGGGAAAGTGTCCGGACTGGAAGGGGGGAAAGTGTCCGGACAGGAAGGGGGGGAAAGTGTCCGGACAGGAAGGGGGGGGAAAGTGTCCGGACAGGAAGGGGGGGAAAGTGTCCGGACTGGAAGGGGGGGGAAAGTGTCCGGACTGGAAGGGGGTGAAAGTGTCCGGACTGGAAGGGGGTGAAAGTGTCCGGACTGGAAGGGGGGAAAGTGTCCGGACAGGAAGGGGGTGAAAGTGTCCGGACTGGAAGGGGGGGAAGTGTCCGGACTGGAAGGGGGTGAAAGTGTCCGGACTGGAAGGGGGGGAAGTGTCCGGACTGGAAGGGGGTGAAAGTGTCCGGACTGGAAGGGGGTGAAAGTGTCCGGACTGGAAGGGGGGAAGTGTCTGGACTGGAAGGGGGGGGAAGTGTCCAGACTGGAAGGGGGTGAAAGTGTCCGGACTGGAAGGGGGTGAAAGTGTCCGGACTGGAAGGGGGTGAAAGTGTCCGGACTGGAAGGGGGTGAAAGTGTCCCGGACTGGAAGGGGTAAATAAAGAATGAGACATGGTGCGCAATGTAGAGCATCCATTGGACTTGAATGTGTTTGGTGAGATGTCACTTCCAATGTCAGGATGATATAATCACACGGCGGGATAATTACATTCTGTGCACCTCAGACCACCAGGAGTAAAAAGCCACAACCCGTCTGCTCGCAGAATGTTCTCGAATTTCGGTATAGGTGTTCTGGAACATGCAATCTAATTTGCATCTAAATCTAAAAGTGATTATAAAGACTAAGAAAAAGTTTTTGGTTTTTTTAACCACTTGCCGACCCGCTCAAAGTCAATGTACTGCAAGCAGGTGGCAGGTGCGACAACGTGCAGCTTTCTTTCGGATTTGGGGGGTGCGCGTGCAGGGACTTCTAGAACCCTGGATGGATAAAGACTTCTAGAACCCTGGACGGATAAAGACTTCTAGAACCCTGGATGGATAAAGAATTCCAGAACCCTGGATGGATGGAAGACTTCCAGAACCCTGGATGGATGGAAGACTTCCAGAACCCTGGATGGATGGAAGACTTCTAGAACCCTGGACAGATAAGGACTTTTAGAACCCTGGATGGATAAAGACTTCTAGAACCCTGGATGGATAAAGACTTCTAGAACCCTGGACGTATAAAGACTTCTAGAACCCTGGATGGATAAAGACTTCTAGAACCCTGGATGGATAAAGACTTCTAGAACCCTGGACGGATAAAGACTTCTAGAACCCTGGATGGATAAAGACTACTAGAATCCTGAATGAATAAAACAATTCTAGAATTCCAGATGATAGAATGCTGGACAGATATAAACTTTTAGAATTCTGAATGGATAAAAACTTCTAGACTCCAGGACGGATAAAGACTTCTATAATCCTGGATGACTAAAAACGTCTAGAATCCTAGATGATAAAATCCTAAACAGATATAAACATTTCAAATTTTTAAATGGATAAAGTCTTCTGGAATCCTGGATCAATAAAGACTTCTAGAATCCTGGACGGATAAAGACTTCTAGAGTCCTGGATGGATAAAGACTTCTAGAATCCTGGACGGATAAAGACTTCTAGAGTCCTGGATGGATAAAGACTTCTAGAATCCTGGACGGATAAAGACTTCTAGAGTCCTGGACGGATAAAGACTTCTAGAGTCCTGGACGGATAAAGACTTCTAGAGTCCTGGACGGATAAAGACTTTTAGAATCCCATATGAAAGAATCCTAGATGGATACAAACTTAGAATTTTGAGTAGATAAAGACTTCTAGAAACCTAAACAGATAAAGACTTCTAGAAACCTAAACAGATAAAGACTTCTAGAATCCTGGACGGATAAAGACTTCTAGAAACCTAAACAGATAAAGACTTCTAGAATCCTGGACGGATAAAAACTTCTAGATTTCTGGACAGATAAAGACTTCTAGAATTCTGGACGGATAAAGACTTCTAGAATCCTGGATGGATAAAGACTTCTAGAATCCTGGATAACTAACAACGTCTAGTATCCTGGATAATAAAGACTTTTAGAATTCTAGATGGATAAAGAGTTTTGGAATCCTGGACAGAGATGAACTTCTAGAATCCTGGATGATGACTTGTTGGCGCTCCCAAAGCTGGTTGGCTCTTTGGTGTCTTGTTATCAGCAAACAATAATATGACACACTTTTGGATTCTGGATCTTTGCTCTGGAGCTCTCATTAGACTTTTTACTTGCGGATCTTAAATTTTGGTTCCACTAAACAGGGAATCTCTGACGGGGGATGGGGAGGGAAGTGATAATTTGATGGAATATTTCTTTGATCGATCTCATTCCCCATACTTAGCATGGCCAGGATAAATCTAGATCCCCCACATTACCTGGATTGTCAGTTCCTTCCCTTCTCTGGTGACCTTCACATGATGCCGCGTTGGGTGGTTTTCTGGACCCTTCAAGTCCAATGTGAACACGTGCATCCCTTCTCTGCCAAGTTTATATCTCACTTGTAAACTACCTGGAAAAAAAAGAAATCCAGAAAATAAACCTTGTGACCAGA